GCTTTCAGCGATTTGAACCACACCACACTTCGACTTTCTCAGTTCGCCGTTGTCTACTTTTTGGCAATTTATTTTTTATATGCCCACCGTGCATCTGTTGTGCATGGCAAAACATGACGGCACCCTGGGGTGCAAAGGCGCACAAAGCAAAAACACTGCACAGCAGATGTCAATCCTAATAGGAACTGTTAGACGACAACTGTTGGAACGGACTGTTGGTCTGCGAGAAGTACTCGCGAGCTGGACTAGCCTGTCATCTTCTGGGCTGACATTTCTGGTGAGTGCGTAAGCACTCTCGCGCTACCCCCACAACAACCTGTCGAAACGCCGATGCACCCGTCTTCTGGGCTCTCCCTCTCCCCGACGCCGATCGCCGCTCGTCACCTCGAAAGCTCTCTCTGTCTCCGCTCCTAACTTCCTCCCTTCTTGGCTCCAGCTGGCATCCCTCTGGGGCTACCATAAATCCCTCACAGCTGGACACAGTGCTGCTTTCCTTTCATCCCCGCCACACGCACACACAGGAGCAAAGTGCATATTCCCCCCCCCTTCCCCCCAAACCGTCCACAGACATCATCGCATTCTCTCTCTCCCTTTTTCAACTGCTTGTCTTTCGAATGCTGCACCAGCGGTGCTCTTGTGATGGCATTAGGGCAACTGTTGGAAGAGGACAGCGTGTATTAGAGGGTAGGGTGCTACTGTTTACAGGTCGGTGCAGGTTTCACTGGGCAGCACTCCTCTTCTCTTTCCGCCTTCTGCCTTCTTTTTTAGCCGTTCATTAGCCGTTCGAAAGCAACTACAACTGACACTACCGGACCATGGGGAATCTTCGGATGAATAGGAAAAGAAAAGCTACCGTTCGGTAAAAGTGATGACTTGTGCATGAGGTCTCTAATTGACCACACACAGATGTTGATCCCCAACTAACATGGACTAGAATTTACTTACTGATGTCGATGTGAGAGTTTCCAGAAGGCGGCCACCTTTAGCAACAGCCTTAGCGACTCTACTCTTGATCTCGCGAACTGAGGTATCCGTCCAGTTTGTTGTAAATGTAGCCAAAACTGCGATATCGCTGTATAACTACGCCTTGTCAGTTCCTAAGGAAGAACACAATAAGAAGGGCAAAAACGTAGATATCTTTTTTCATACCTAGTACAGAATGCTTATAGCACGCAAACATACAAGATTGAACCAATCAAAATGTGTTCTTGAGGGGTAACATTCTGACTGACTGTCGGGCTGAACAGAGGGATAACGCAGAACATTAATCATGGCGGTGGTTTGATCGATCTCATGAATCGCGCGGCTTGTACCGATCGATAGTGCACTGTTGGATGAGTAATCGGGGCAGCGTAATAACTGGTCGTTAGGCCTGCCCCTAAAAACTTTTCAAGACATTAAATTTAGCGAACCGGGATAGTTTCAAGTGTGTCAGATGACTTATACTGAGGAATGCTCTACATCAGGTGATCGATCAGCTAAGCGGTGGCTTGATGCTGGTGATAGTGGGAGAGAGAGAGAGTGAAGGCGACGACTCAACGCATTTATCTCCTCACCGTAAACATTCTGGCGCGCTTGAAACTGTCCCGATGCGCTAAAAGCCGCGCCTTGGAGGGTTGCCAACTAACGGGATAACTCGGACCGCGTGGTTAGCCCAGTATGTGTCTTGTTGTTTGGAGTGGCTGTCTGGCGGACTGAGAGTCAGGCTGCAATAGCTCCTTCTCAGTGTGGCCGTTATGGCACTCCCACGTAAGTGGGATCCTAGCCAGGTGTTATCGTGACGCGCATCGGAGGGGCGGCCTATCCCGCCTCCGATCTGCCAGCCTATGTCTTGACACCGGGCCCAGGTAGGTATGGGAAGAGTGAGTATGGTAGATGCTAAATGAGTCTACTCTCACTATAATCCAGCGCATAGTCACCGTTCCTGTACCACTCTAGTGTGGTGGACATCGTCGAAATCAACGGTCTGACTAGCATTTAGGGATGCTTCTTACATTTTTGCCTTTCTGGAGTAGGTCCTTTTTAAAGCTAGAATCGCATATTGTTCTCTTACAGCCTGTCGCAAAGATCATTCTGCTCTACTTCGGTTCTTTACCCTTCTACGAATGTCCGAACTTCGCAATCGCATAAAGATCATCGCCCTCTTCCACGAAGAACTGGATAGCCAGAAGGCGTCGATTGTAAAGGCCGTCCTTGGTGAACCTGCATTCTGCGAACCCTTCGTCGATTTGCTGGTGCAGAGTCCGAAGAAGTGAGCCATCCTGTTTGCTATGCATAGTTTATTCAGAAGGCCCCCTGCTTTTGTTTTCACCATCCATCCACGTACTTTCCGCCCCAAGTATACTTTCTCCTGTTGCATTCTTGTGTATTCGAATTTAGTGCCTTTTCTGAGAATTCGAGGTAACTTATGGTCTGGAAGCCCTAAAATCGAAAGCCAATTAAAGAACGCTTACTACTTTAGTAGTCTTTTTTCCAGAGTGCAGTTTATGCGGCCGGCCGTAGGGAAACTCGTTCAAAAGCGGACATTGCGGCCTGAATGCCATATCTTCGAATTATAGTGCATGATACTTACTACTACAAGCTTATTACGGTAATCCTTATTTACCCAAAACGCATTTCAGAATTTTGGCTATAAGTGAATGATGTAGCCAATCGAATTTACACGCGCAAAATCGTTAACGGCAGCTGCGTCAGCCCTTCTTCCTTCCTCCTCCTCCTCATCCTCATTATTATTATTATTATTACGGTAATCCTTACGGTAATCCTTATTTACCCAAAACGCATTTCAGAATTTTGGCTATAAGTGAATGATGTAGCCAATCGAATTTACACGCGCAAAATCGTAAACGGCAGCTGCGTCAGCCCTTCTTCCTTCCTCATCCTCCTCCTCCTCATTATTATTATTATTTTTATTATTATTATTATTCGTGTGGTGTCATTTTGGCTTTGTTGCCCATACTGACTGTGCAGTTTAGGAGTTGCACTAGCATGTGTGTGAAGCTCTTACTATGGTAGCTAATGAAGAAGCTCTTCCCATAGAAAATATCAACATTCAGAGGTATCGTCCCTTCATGAGTGTGATATTCTATTTTTTGCTTTTTTTCCATCTCCATTTCTCATTCTCTTTCTTCATTCGTTTTACCCTTAATGTGTATTATTCAAGAATGGGTAAGCATGCCTTCTAAATAACACTACAGTACCAAAAGCTCCAGGCTTGTGTAATACGGGACGGTGGTAATAGGGGTTATCTGGGTGAAGAAAATAAAAAAATAAGTTAATAAAACTGAACCTAGGTTTACTTAACTAAAGACTAAACTGAATTAAGTAGAATAGCTAAACTCAAAACTACTGAACTAAAACCACTAAAACTAACTAATTAACGAATAACTAAACTAAACTAAATAGTAAACTCTTAAGAAATAAGTTGTTAGTTATGCGTAGTAAAACAAGGTGTTGTTTATAAGGAATCCTTACCCAAAAACGTGTTTTTCGCGGGACTGCTGCTCCCTGTTCCCTCGTTTGCACTCCCCCCTCTTCATCGTCGGCCATGTTTCCGTTTTCATTGAGGCAAAATGTCCGGGCGACCGACACTTCCACCTCAACACTCTAC